AGGTTTTGTGACTCTGTAAGGGCAGATGTTAACTGTAGAAAACTGAGAGCAGTGTAAATACATTTTGTAGGTAGAGATGGAGATGAGGGTATTAATTTGTTTTGCATCTATTTAGCAATCTTATTCCAAATTGAGTGGAACAGAGCAACAGAAGCAAAGACAAGAAAAAACTCAGATAAAGAAAAGGGGGGCACAAAAGAAAGATCTCAGAAAGCATGAGGCTGTATTGTTATAAACCACTTTGTGAAGACAACAGAAGAGGGAGCCCTGGAGCCATGAAGGTGAAGACAGGCTACCACTGCTCACTCCTCTATCTCACAGGAAAATTTACTGCACTTAAAAAAAATGAGCAACAGAAAAGAATCTTGAATCCCCTTTAAAACTATTATAAGAACACAGAAAATGTGAAGTAGAATAATGTCTCTAAGCATAAAATAAATTAAGAAATTATAGAAGCTATGAAAGAACATAAAACTCAGAAATTAGGTGGGTAGAGAAAGGAAGATTTGCAATGAGGTGAGAGAACTAAAAAAAAGAACTAAAAATATAAGAATTATTTTAGAATAAAAAAAAATATGCCTACTGAATTAGGAGAAAAAAGAATACAAAAGGGAAGACAAGTTTGAAGACAAGCCTGGGTGGCTCGTCTGACTCTTGATCTCAGCTCAGGTTGTGATCTCGGGGTCATGAGTTTAAGCCCCGCACTGGGCTCCACGCTGGGCATGGAACTACTAAAAAAAAAGATAAAGAGAAAATATTTTGAGAGAAAGTGATAAATATAAAAGATTAAAAAAATCCAAACTAAGTAAAAATCAGGAAGGGGACAGAAAACAATGGAATACAAAGAAATGACAAAAACTATGAGAATAAGTCATCTGAATTTATTAAAGTCTAGAGCAGGGGTCAGCAAACTCTATAAAAGGCCAAATAGTAAATATTTCAGTCTCTGTAGGTCAGATGGTCCTTGTCACTGCTACTTAACCTCTGCCACTGGAGTGTTTTTAAAAGCAACCATTAACAATATATGTAAGTCACTGAGCAGGTCAGACATGGGTTGATGGCTAACTGACCCTTTGCTAGAAAAGGAGTTTCAGAAAACCAAAAACCTAGAACTGGTGCTCAGCATTCAATATACACTTATCTGCAGAACTAAAGCCTAAAAATGGGTACCAGGGTACACAGCCCAATCTGCGATGGCTATATGCTCTGATTTTGTAGATACAGTAAAACTACATTCAAGAAATGGAAAATGGTGAATGTATATGAAAAGTAAAATAAGCACTTAATACTTTAAATGTATTAATTTAGAATAAAGAGATATGACTTTAGTTTATTAACAGGGGAGAAGGAGAGGAGGGAGAAGAGGTATCAGTTGATTATAATAATGCTCATAGGAATGAACCAATTTACAATAGCTAAAAAGGGGAAATTGAAGACAAAAATATCCAAAGAACAAAAACATGAACCTTCCTAAATATGGAAAGACATACCAAAGCAAAACACACAAGCAAAACAAATAAGGAAAGAATAAAATAGAGCATAAAATAAAGACAGCATTCTACTGTTTAGCCAAGAGAGTGGGATACACAAATATACATGCAATTGCTTCTATTTTTAAAAAGTGAAAGAATAAACCATAAAATTTAAAAAACAAAAAAAGGGATTTTTTATGGAAGAAAGAAGTAGGGTAGAAGACCCAGGAATAGAAACAAGAATCCTGTAGACCTGACTTTGAAATTCCATACAGTTTTGTTACATGATTATAAGAAAAATTAAGTTTAAAAAGTAGTTCTTAAAAATTGAAAATAAAAAGGAACAAGTAAATTGTTGCCATAATTACACACAGAAAAGTACTAGTTCAGGGGCACCTGGGTGGTGCAGTTAGTTAAGCATCCAACTCTTGGTTTTGGCTCAGGTTCTGACCTCAGGGTCCTGGGATTGAGCCCCACGTTGGGCTCCACACTCATTGGGGAGTCTGCTTGAGGATTCTCTCTCTCTCTCTTCTTCTGTCCCTCCCTGCTCACACTCTCTCTCTCTTAAAAAAAAAAAAAAGTACTAGTTCAATAATTTAACATAATAAGCTGTACATACTATAACTAATATGCAAAAAACAAAAAATCTGAAAAATAAAACATACAATGTTTTTAATAATTGTCTCATTTATATTAATATAGTAGCAGTAACAATCTGCAGTAATGCAGACTGTTGTCTTTGAACTGTGAGTAAATCAAGTGAATAGTTATGTCAGTGTCCCAAGACCTAGATTTTTGGTGTGGCTGGAGAGATCTAGACAGGAAGATTAATGCAACTGAGTAAAAAACACTGTAGCCTCAAATCTGAAATATCAGTACAAACTCAAAATTTATTATATCTGAAAAAGTGATATACATTTCCTAGATTTGTCCATTAAAAAGGCACAGAAGCGGGCACCTGGGTGGCTCAGTGGGTTAAGCCTCTGCCTTCGGCTCAGGTCATGATCTCAGGGTCCTGGGATCGAGGCCCGCATAGGGCTCTCTGCTCTGCGGGGAGCCTGCTTTCTCCTCTCTCTCTGCCTGCCTCTCTGCATACTTGTGATCTCTCTCTCTCTGTTTCAAATAAATAAAAATAAAATCTTTAAAAAAAAAAAAAAGGCACAGAAGCAAGAATCAATACAGCAGCAAGGAGTGTTCATAATGCGCAGGTTTAAGCCTCTACCATTTCCTAAGGAAAGCAGGGTTTTTAGAAATAGGGCTGTTTCCAGGTATGGAGCAGAAACAACAACAAAATATACAAGTGGGCCTGGAAGAACTTGTCATCCTGGAAGAAAGGGAGACCATTTACCTTCTAGATATAAAGTAAGGGTCATGTTAAAGGATACAGGAAATCAATACATTGCATTCCTTACATTTACATTATGTTAAATGTCAATTATATAATTATATAATGAAACTGGGGAAATAAGGACATTGGCACCACTCTGATGCCAAAGATAGGGTAATTTGAGCATTGTAAGCGTAATAATGGAAGTGGATTAAAACACTACAAATGTGCTAATATCCGTATGTTCATAATCACATTAAAAAGAAAAAAAAATCACTAATTACTTTTAGAGAATTTTAATGAATAAAACGCATCACTTGAAAACGGATAAAAGGAATCATGAACTTGTTCTACCTTTAGTTTAAGTATCTTGTAGTAACCAGATGGTTGGTGAGGAGAGTTTTCTTTTTTTTTTTTTAAAGATTTTATTTATTTATTTGAGAGAGAGCATGCAAGAGCGGGGTGGGGGGGGGTGGAGAGAGGAAGAGAGAGAAGCAGGCTCCCGACTAAGCAGGGAGCCTAACATGGAGCTCGATGTGGGGCTCCATCTCAGCACCCTGGGATCATGACCCAAGCCAAAGGCAGATGCTTAACCAATTGAGCCACTCAGGCACCCCAAGGGGAGTTTTCTTTTTACAGAAGTAATCTAGTTAATAAAAACGACTGATAAAGGCACATTGTTACCACTTTGCAACCCTCGATGATAAAAGAAATCTAGGCAATGAGAATTAATTTTGCCCAAAACAATCTCTAGATCTATCAGTTTATCAGGAATAAAGGGAAGAGAGGAACAGAAGAAATGATACCAGGGAGATGCAATCGTGAATATGCAGGATGTGAAGGGCTCTACACATGCTTACTTCTTCAACGACAAAAAACTCTTAAAAAAAAAAAAAAAGAAAAAAAGAAAAGCTAGAGAGGGAACCTACAAATTAAAAGACAGTGAAGAGAGATAATCACAATGTATGGACCTTATATGAATTCCAATTCAAACAGACAAAACGAACAAAACCAAAACAAAAAAGGTGTAAGACAAATCAAGGAAGTGTGAACACTCAATCTGATGATACAGATAACATGATACAACATAAAGGATTTTCTTCAAAATAATCTAGGGCAGAGGCGGCAAATAGATATAATGACAATAATTTGATCACATGATGGGAATTGGTGAAGTTGGGATAAACAAAAGGAGGATTATTTTTCAGTAGATTTGACCATGGATTTTATTGTGGCAAACTATAAATACTGTCTATTTCTGTATGTGATCTGATTTGAAGCATACCTAAAAATACTCAGGGCTGTCATTTCATCCTTTTTTTCTTTCTTTGAATACAGGATTTTAAAATGTAACTAAAACTGTTTTGCAAAAAGCCTTAACACTTAAAACGGAGTTCTCCCATAAACATATTACATATGTACACATGCCCCCCTCTCCCCTGCAAATCTGGCTTGCTGGATTTGGTAAAATGTTGATGGGCAAACCTATAAAAATTTGCCATCATTACACATGATGTCAAACATTTTTAAAATCTCACTTAAAAAATGTATAACCTTTATGTAACAATCTTTAAAAAGGTTCCTTAAAACCAAGATGGTTCTGTAAAGTTTGCCAGTTGACAAAAATGGACTAAGTAATTCCACAGATACCAAGTTTTGGGACTTAAATACAATTTTACATAAAGGATACATAATCATTTTTTAAGTGTGCACTGAATTTTGGTTTGTCACAGGTCACACATTGGAAACACACAGACACTTCTGACCTACAGACAAGCTGTTTGGTTTGCATGGTCCAACATATAAAGATTGGGAGCTTTCACATAAAAATCCAGATTTTGACAGTCCTACAAGCAGCTGGGAGCTAGAGCACAGTAGCAGCTGCCTCTTGCAGGAGGGCGTGTTTCTTTTTTCCACCACGGTCCCTTGCTTCCTTCCTCCTTGCATACACGGTAGGCCTGGCCTCTTCAGACATTTGAGTGTGAGATCACTAGCTAAAGCCTAACATTGTTCTTAGGGAGGCTTTTACCTCATTCCTAACAAAGTACAACAGAAAAAAGAAGATATCTGTAAGAGTCCATATTACTTAGTTTTGAACTTATAATTTTTTTAAAATTCGCATTCATCATCCTTATAGCACAAAAATAAAGTATTATCTGCATATTTTTAAATGCTTTTCTTTGACAAGAAGAAAGGCTTACCTTTAAATCAAGGCTGTTAAGGCTTATGACATCATCATCTTTCGCTCTCCGCTTTCTTTTCTATAAGAAAAAAAAGATTTCATTCTTATATAGAAGGAATGCATGTTACCTCATTAAACAGAGAGTCCATAAAACCAGAAAAATCACTTTAAAAAAGTGAAGCTCTATTCATAATTATTTTTGAAAAAAAATTATTTTTGAGGGATGATCATAAATGATCTCTAGCATATTTACTGTTTATATAGTTCCCCTGGCCTGAATCATCTCATGCTGCCAAGTTTCACCCTATCAAAAAACTTTATGTAAAGTTTTTTCAGAAGAGAACTCTTAGTAAGTCAAGGGCTAACTGTACTTACTAGAGAAAAAGTAAAATATGTTTTAAACATAAAAGCAACGAGTTTTTAAAAAATCATATTATTTATCCTATGGAAGGGGGAGGGTCTTCACTAGAAAAAAAATACCCTTTTCTCATGGCCCAAAGTAAATTAAGACTTGTTGCCAGAAGCAGGATTTATCTACTGGAAGACAACATACTCCTAGTTACCATTCACTGCTCACTCAGCCCTTCTGGTGCCTGTAGTGGTGAAACTGCATACAATCTCATTTCTGTCCTTCATCACTATTGAAGAAGAATCCTTAAGTAACACATCACCCACTCACACCTCAAAATAACTTTTCAGATGACCTGGGACATAGTCTAGCTCTTGTGAACTCTCAAAACTGACCAGCTAGGGTTCCCTTCCAGGACCTAACTCCACTCCAAGGAGAAACTGGCGGTAGTGGAATCAGAATGGAGCAGGACAGGGACACTGGAGAAAAGGAAAGACGGAGTCCAGATGGAAGTGGGGAATTGATGGAACCTGGAAATCGCAGAAGCAAGGAACCATATAAAGAGAGGGAACTCTGTTAAGTTAGAAAAGTTATCTGAACCAAGCCTCTTTGTAAAATTCAGAAAAACTAAATTCACATTAAAATGAACAGAAAATTCTCCAAGTCAAATCCTACACAAAATGACTCTAAGAAAAAAGGGAAAAGGGGAAGAATAATATCCCTATTGGGAATGAAAGTACTTTGGAATGAAATGCTCAAAGAAACAGAGCAAAACTATGACATACTATTCCAAAGTTAGCTAACGGCATTAGGAAAATGATAGAACACTTGAAAGAAAAATATAAATCAGGATTGGAAAAAACTAAAAATGAGGTGACAAGAAATCCTTATTGATCTTAAGGTCATATCCAGAAGATCTAGAAAAATAAGAATAATATGATCCTAATTCTGAAAAAAACAAAGCAAAGATCCTGCATTTATGTATATTTTATTTGTGAGTCTCTCTCTGTATATGTGTGTGTGTGTAAATAATTATATGAGCAAAACAGAGGGACAGGTATGGTATTGCTGACACAGGTTAGAGTGGAGGCTGGGATGGAAGGATTGACAGGGGAGGAGAGAGGAAAGGAGGAAGCTGCCAAACAAAAAGAAGTGTACTGAGGGGAAAAGCTCATTCATGATTGTACCTACACATTTATATAAAATTATGTACATGTGTTTACATATGTAGAAAGACATTTAACAGATTTTAAAATATTCTACTATATTTTCTTTTAAACATTCTGAAGTTTTCTTTTCCTATATACATATTCAATCCATCCAGAATTTATTTGTTTGTATATAGTATGAGACGGCAGAGCTAACTGTCCCCACCGCTAAGACCATTGTTGCAGGCACCATTCCTTCTAATGACTACGATGCATGAAGGTCTCATACATATGTCAGTTTCTGGGTTCTCAATCTTATGGCATTGGTCTGTTTACCTAGACTTTCATCCACACTGTGATTCCATAATCACTGTACCTATGGAGTAAGCCTTAACAGCTAATAAAGTCAAGTCATATGTTCCCTGACTTGCACAATACTTCCGCTGCTCTGGGCTTTCTACTTTCTTTCTGAATTATAGAGTGAGATCTCTTACACTCTAGTGGGATTTCTATCAGAACTACACTGAATTTATAAATTAATATAGGGAGTACTAACATTTTTGGGTTTATTGAGTCTTTCCTTGTACGACTATCTTTCCATTTAACTTGGTATCTATTTCTTTATTAATGCTTTCCAATTTTTCCAACAAAAATCTCACAGATCTTTTCACAGATTTATTCAGTTTTAAAAATTGTTTTTACTTCAATATAAGCATCTTTACAAATTACATTTGTTTATTGCCTATATATATACACATTTTACTGAATCCCTTTTATAAGTTTTATAGCCAGTAATTTTGTTTGAACTTTTAGTTCTAATAGCTGCTATCAATATTCACTAGGATAGTCTATGTAGATAGCCATATTGTCCCTAAGCGATGAGATGCTATTGTCTCTTTCTTCCTAATTTGAATACCACCTGTTCTCCTGTCTCACTATGTTGGCTAGAAGCACCAGTAAAATGCTGGATAGACATGGTGACAGCAGGCTTTTTTCCAAAATTTTAAGGAAATGTTTCTAACATATTATCATCACAAAACATGTTGTTTGTGGCAGGTCTCAGGCTAAGATAGTTCTGTTCTATTCCCAGTTTGCCAAGAATTTTATCATGACTGGGCAATGATTTTATTTTTATCCATTTTCATTTTTCCACTTATTTTTTTTTGGTTCATTCTACTGTTCTTTCTCTAATAACTTGAGTCAAATGCTTACTTTTTGTCCTCTTTTTTCTCAACCTATGTATGTGAAAGTTTATTAATCTCTTAATACTCCTTAATCACATTCCGAACGTTTTAACACATGAACCATGAGCTATTTCTTTTGTCATGGGAGAACTCTACAAATGTGTTTTCCCCAAGAGGGATGTACCATCCCAGAGGATATGCAAGATATCTTCCCTGGAGTGCAGGAGGAAAATGTTAGAACTTCAATATTTATGTATTTATTAATCCTTAAAAATAAGGTTTACTAATATTTAATATACAGATGATGAACTCATCATCATCCACATTATAAGGTTAGACAATAGTCATCCAATCAGTTCCCAGAAATTGACCTCACACTGTGAAAATGTCATGGCTATTTGAAATACGGACTTACATCCACTATCACGAACTTCACCCAAGATTGAGTACTGTGCTTTGACTTATTAGCCAATAAAGCTGGTCCATACATAAAAATCCTAAATAAACATAGCAGGGTATGTGTTCAAAATATTTTTGCTGATAGGTTTGCAAAATTAAGTTTGGAGACACTTCTCTCCTGAAGTTTTTCTGTTTGAGCTTAGGCTTGTCAACTATGAAAGGAAAAAAATCAAGATGAAAAAAAGTCTCTAGGAGAATAGAGAATTGTATTAAAATCAGGAGACTCTTGGTATGAATCCTTAACTGACCAATTAATGTAAGTAACTGGTATAAGAGCAAAGAAATCTCAAACAGAAGTCCCCAACAGAGATATAAATTAAATACAAAAGAACAGAATGCAAATTAAATATGCATTGCTGAACCCATCAGCACACAATCAGGTAAAACTTGGCAAACTAGAAACAGAATGATTTTTGCTATTTCCTCCAAATAAGAAAATGTAAGAATCATGCTCTATTTGTATATACATTATTTACGAGTATTATAAGCTAATGAGTTTTTAATTACAAAAAGAACCAATTGTCTGGTTAGATGCCTCTGTAAAAGTCTCATTCTAAAAATAATGAGAGTAGGATACTAGGATGATTAATAACAGAAAATAAATCATCATCATATATATCATCTGAAATCATTTTTATATTTTTCAGCCAAGAAACAAGCTGTTAGAGTATGTACATAAAAACAGCTTCATATTTCATAATATATTCTCTTAATTTTAAAACTGTAGGAATAAAAGAAAGGATTGCATAAGGTTAAAAATAAATAGATCTGCTATTTTTCAAAATATTTTATATTTAATTGAAATAAAAGTTGTTTTTAGCTTGTTAGCAGAAGAAAAAAGAATTAAATTAGGCTGCCAAAGATGGCAACAGAAACTCTGTATCTCAAGATAATCAAGAAGTACAGACAACTGAGTTGTACACCAGACTGAAAGACAACCTAGGAATTAATTCTCTCAATGTCTTGACATAAAATACCCAGGTACTCACCAAAGTGAAGTCCCAGTGAGGGCCAGGTGTTAAAAATGTGAAGGAGCTACCTCTCCGAAGGGAATGACTGTTAAAAGAAAATTCAAGCAAAAAGTTAACCGAGAGTAACTTTAGTAAAACAAAGCTCTAGACAGATAAAAAGCTATCTTTTTCATAGGTTCAAAACTATTTAAAGTAACTTTATTAGCCATTCAATTGTAGAAATATAAAGAAGGGATGCAAACAAAAAAAATCAGGATTTATCCCCTGGTCTTTTTTGGAATCTTTACAAAAGTGAAAGGGCCTTTATAAAATTAGTGGACATATTAAAAATAATTCACCAAACCAAGCAGGATTATTTTAGGAACATATACATGGTTCAATAGTAAGAAATCTATTTATATAGTATATTAAACTAATAAGTTAAATAAAAAGCAGTAAATGATGCAAAAATTATTTAATAAAATTATGCATTCTTGCTCAACATTTAAAAACAAGAATAAAGGATGCTCAACATAATAAATAAAACTCAAATGCCTTTAATTTGAATTTCATGTTTAAATCTCTTCCATGTACTGATTTTTTTTTTAAATTACGGTTTAATTAACCAAATAAGGAATTTTGAAAATTATATCTGAGACAAAGATCTCAAGTAAGATTAAAAGTTGACGAGGATTTTGTTACTATTAAGTGACAGATTTTTCTTCTGTTTATCTTTCCATTCAAGAGAATCCTTTTAACAAAAACCTGTCCTTGCCTTTATAAAATATAAACCTCTATGTTTATAAACATGCAGAAAAATCACAAAATATAGTTAGCACAAGAAATACAGGTTATAAACTATACTTACCACTAATCTCTTCGGATGTAAATAATTCTAAAATAAATGTTTCCCCCTTGTATAGAAATAAGTGAGAAAAAAAAGCCACCTATCACTTGTGTTCAGGCAGATTCAAAGGCGGGCTGAAGAGTGCAAAAGCTTCACAGTGGAAAAAAGGGAAGGTTTCAAGTGTGCCCTGACTGGAGGCTGTTGGCATGGGAAGCTGAAGGTGAGCTAAGCAGGAGTGGGATATCCTCTGTGAGTGGTGGGGGGGTACATATTTGGCTTGCTCTCATTAGTTCAAAGTCGGAAGCAAGTATAAAAATCAGGGAACCTGGCAGTTATCGATCAAGTCCTAGCCACTGTAGGTTGATTGTTAAAAAAGTTATTGTTCAGCTTTCTGGATTGTAAGGCCATTCTCCACTTGTATATTCATTCCACTTCTCAGCCTTGATCCTCACGGCCTTTGTTCATTCTAGGTTACAGTAATACCACAGATGGCTGTTACAGCTACAAGAATTTACAAGCCTAATCAAATATAAGGCAGTTTTCTAAGCTAAATATAAAGCAGAAGTTCGCTTGTGTTTTGATATGAACACAAGGGAAGATGGCTACAAGAAAAAAAGAGGATGTCAAAAGACTTCACAGAAGAATTAATATTTAAGCGATACTAAGCTGAATCAAAGAGACATAGCCATTAGCAAAGCATATGAGAGCCAGGAAGGCTTTCTGGGCAAAGGGAACAGCACAAGTTAAGGGAGAGTGAAATGAATTACATTCAGGGAATTGCAATAGTTCCTTACGTTTGGGTATCAAGAGAAATAAGGAAGGGCTAGCTAAAGGCCTTACATAACGACTCTTATACAGAGTATGGACTTGATCTTGAATATGTATGGTGGCAGCAATCCGCTATGGAATTTTAAGTAACAAGAAGGATGGCAGCAGGACTGGTTGGGAAGACTGGTCAGGAGGCAGCTCCCATATTGCTCACAATAGACACCAAGGGGCTGAAGCAATAGCAACAAAGTTAGGAGAAGCAGATTAGAAAGAGGGCATGGGGGCGCCTGGGTGGCTCAGTGGATTAAGCCTCTGCCTTCAGCTCAGGTCATGATCCTAGAGTCCTGGGATCGAGCTCCTCACTGGGCTCTCTCTGCTCAGCAGGGAGCCTACTACCCCTCTCTCTCTGCCCACTTGTGATCTCTCTCTGTGTGTCAAATAAATAAATAAAATCTTTAAAAAAAAAAAAAAAAGAGGGCTCAGTGACAAAACTGGCAGACTTTTCCCTCTTCCTCCCTATGCCAGCTCAGTTTCCACCAAGGTTCCTGGCATAGTGAAATACAGTTCTACTAATAATAATTAAAAATAGATGCAGAAAGAGCTTAAGATAATTAAGCAAACATTTCCTAAATAATTATTTGTGAAAGATTAAAACACACTAAGCCTTTTATTACTCTTAAAGCTCGTATTTCTCCCCCCAAGAGCCTCTTCAGTGGAGCCAGATAACTCAAGGAATTGGTTTTTCTTGCCACTGCTGAAAAAGTAATGATAAAGAAAACAGTATGATTTTTGATAAAACACTGGAATGAGGAATTTAGGTGAAACCAACATGACATCTGAAACGCATTAGAATTCATACGTCTAAACAATACAAAGATACAGTATCATAAACAATGCTAAAAGATTATAAGAAAAACGACCTTCATACCATGTGTATCCATAGATCATGCTGTTTAAAAACACTACTCTAGGTTAAGTGCTATCACATACTACATGCTTAATAAGAGCAACAGTGGGGACTGAGTTGAGAAGCATCAATTATGATTTCTAATAAGATTATTTTTAATCCAGTGCAAATATTCATTACAGAGTAGTAATCATAGTGGCAGTTAAAGTATTCAGTAAATATGTCCTTAAGTTTTAAGAACACAAAACCAAAGTTATTCATTTTTTTAGTCCCTAGAATCAACCAAACTGACCTCAGAATGAATTTGATGTTTGAAAGCTGGAAAGAAAAATAGTTCTTAGGAATTTCAAATAGGTCAACAAACTGGAAAAATATTTCCAATCAGATGGCAAGATTCTTTCCAGTACAAGCTATAATCAGTTTTATAGTTATGCTATTTTTTCCCAATTCAATAACAAGTACCTATTTATTTTGAATACCCATGGAAAAAAAAGAACCCAATAAACAAGTTGTGCCCAGGAATCATGTAAGATCGTGCCAACTTTTAAAAATCTTGGAAAGACATACAGTCATCTTTCACAGGGGTCAGACTCCAAATGTAATAGCTATTTTAAATCCTTGTGGGAAAAAAACTTTGATTTCATAAAACGTTAAAATTGTAAGTGGCCTTTCCAGAAGATACTAAGCAGAGTTCATTTAAAGAGGTATTAAAGGGTGATATAAGAAAGGACAGTCCTTCATCTTTTCCATAATTTTTGTCTAATCCTTTTTTCATATATTTAAACAATTACAACATTTCAGGCAGAAAATAAACTAATACATGTAGAAACTAGCTTGGTGTATTAAATTCTGTTTCCTATTAACCCCATTGTGACTGTTCCTTAGCCTAACACCCATACTTCTTTTCCTGTCATTTGGTGTGTTTTTAAACAATGTAATGATTTTATTTTAATGTAAATGATTTTACACTAACTACTTTTAGTCTAACAAAACAATTACAATGGTAAAGAGAAAAATTATGTTAATTCATTCTTAAGCCAAATCATGTTTTCAATTATGATTTTGTCGCTGCCCTCTTCTGTCATGGCAAATAATTAAGAGCTGAATTAGACTTAAAAATAGCAGAAAGGAAGCTCAATGAACATTTTCAGAAAATGTACTGGACAACATAAATGAGATAATTCTTCCAATGAAAAAGGAAGAAAATGTAACGATACTGCCTTATAATAAGGTAGATATATTTAGGGGTTTACAAAAGAACCACCAAAATGATTTAGCAAAGGAATGATTTTAAAAAGCAAGTGAAAAGGGCACCTGGGTGGCTCAGTCAGTTTAGCGTCTGCCTTTGGCTCAGGTCATGATGCCAGGGTCTCTGGGATGCAGCCCCGAGCTGGGCTCCCTGCTCAGCAGAGAACCTGCTTCTCCCTCACCCCGCCCGACCCCCAATGCCCCATGTTGTGCTCTCTTGCTATCTCTCTCTCAAATAAATAAATGAAATCTTAGCAAAAAAAAAAAAAAAAAGACAAGCAAAAAAGAAGGACTAAAGATAGCAATATAGCAGACGAGGTTACTGACATCAGCAAGAAGACCTGAGGCACAGGGCACCTAAAATATGCACAGTATAATTGAAAACCGTGTGTGATACCTCCAGATCGATAAGGAAAATCAGTTCCTATGTGGTAAAACAAGAAAACAGAGCAGTGCTGAAATCTGTTGCTAGGCTAAGGAAGCTGGTCCCACACACCAGCAGTGCAACTCAAATTAATGCCTGGTCCTAATCACAAACTACTATGCATAACTCACAAACAGCTAAAATTTAAAATTTTAATCTGTAAATGCCAAGGGTACCATGAATGTAGAAATAACGAAGTAAACTATTCTCTGTAGTGAACATTTGTTGATATTCAGGGCACTTAACTACTCAGGTTATCAGTTTCTTTGCAAATTAGGCAAAAAACAATGACAAATGTTACTGAAATCATTCATTCATTTTGGTCAAACATGCAATGTAGTGGACTGTTCTGACTGCTTAGCATCTTTGCTATTAGAAATTGTGTCTTCTCACATATAACCTTCTCATATTATAACCTTCTTAGAAAGGTTCTGCTGGAGCCCAAACTCATGTAGACTATTATCCCTTACCCTACTAGGGTTTTTTCAATTTTGTTATTTGTGAGCCCCAAATAGCAGATACATCTTGCAACATCTCTAAGTCTAGAACACAGCTGAGCATCTATAATGTATGCTGTAAGCCAGCATACACACAGAAAATGTAGAATATTCAGTTCATATAATGGAATATTATTTAGCAATAAAAAAGAATGAAATATTCATGCAAGCCATAATATGGATGAACTGCAAGATTATATATTGTGATTGCATTTACGTGCAATGTCCAGAAAATACAAATATATACAGACGGAAAGCAGGTTAAGTGGCTGCCTAGGAATGAGGGCACAAAGGGGACTGAGTGCATACAAACTTGTAATATTTTTGGTGATGAAATGTTCTAGCAGTGGATTGTGGTAATAGTTGCACAACTGTATAAATTTACTAATATTCACTGAACTGCACACTTAAAATG